TCTGCTCAAAACAAAACAGAAAAGTCTATCAGTCATTTATTATTATACAAGAATACTGCCAGATAATAATAAAAAAAAGGAATAATCTAACACTACGAATACAGGACGTAAACAGAATGAAAATGTGAAGAAAATATAAAGAAATGAAGAATTAGGCAAAATAAAGAACAAATGGTAAAATAAATTAAGAAGTTTGAGGGAAAAATAAACACATATATAACACAAGGAGTTATATTACCTGCAGAGTTTCATCAACAAGTTCAGAGAGAGACGAGTGCCATCCCCAGATCATGGCAAGGAAGTGGTATCTGTTTTCTATAGTTTTTAAAGAGTCCTGAAATGATCACAAAATTCAATGCATATACAGCATGAAGAAAATTCTTTAGAAATTATGATGAATAAAAAAACTTGTTTACATGTAAATACTGATCTACAAAATTTTTGATATTTAACAAAGAGCAATTTCTTATGGTCAACCAAGTAGCATCACAGATAACTTACTTTCAGGATAACCACTACCAAATTATCTCTAAAGGCAGTACCAATATCTTCAAATCTCTCCAACTGTATTGCACTTCTCAGAGCTTTTACAAGGAGAAGAATGTTTCCTTCCTCTACATCCTGTAAGACAACAAAAATAAAAAGTTTGAGATTTATGACATCTGAACAAATCATGAAATTTTCTGAATACCAAATATGCAAGACTTTCCATTCATAAAAACCCAGGTTATGGTTGCACAACTTATATGGACATTTCATATATCAATATTTAATAACTGACAAATTTTATTTTCTAAAGCTGATTCCTTCTCTAACCTCCATGAACGGCGTCCAGAATGTGGTTGTAGTGCATGCAGCAGGTAATTTGAAGACTTGCAGTGCTTGCTTTAAACAGCTTGTCAAAAATGGGAGAGTTAGGGATCCCTTCCGTGCAGCCTCCAGACAAAATGCAAGTTCGACATGGTCATCCTTCCCTTCCATATCCTTATTAGTTTTATCAGATGGTGCCTGGTAATCAATAGAGATTCATGTTTATAAACTAGCTGCAGAGTTCTCAAATATTTAAAATGTATCAAAATGAAATTTTATATAATGCAAGTAAACTGTGAGAATTCACTATAACATACGGATACTCAAATATTTAAACTTCAAATTATTACATAGAAAGGCAACTCAATAGAAGGTTACCTTAATATCAGAATCCAATCCAGCCTGACATGCATCCACAATCTTGTGTGCTAATTTCAAGCGAATATCATTCCCCATCTTATCGCTGACTAAACCAGAGCGCAGCAAAACAAGAGAGACAAAGCACCCGAGCTGGCTGTGCTGAGAAGCTAAATATTTTTCTACATATGACCACAAGGCCACCTGTTCTTCTTTTGATAACTCACTGATGGCCTTTGGGACAACAGTCATGATCTTTCGAAGGTACTGCTTTTGCTTGAGGTTCATCAACAAAGGACTTAGTTCCATAGCCAAGGCTGCCAGGAAAGGACTGCAAACAGTCATCTTTGATTTCAGAATCATCTTAGCAGCATCATAGTCATGACTCTTGGGGAACAGCACATATGGAAGACAAATGAACAGGACATTCATCAGCTGATCTTTGTCATACTTTGGTGAAAGGGTTTGACATAGTACCCTCAGACATGGTATCTGTGTATCTCCCCACTTCTCATGGTGGCTCTGGACCCTCTCTAAAAGTTCTTCACACTTTTCCATAGTGAATGAAGTCTCTAGCATGTGTATGCCCGTCTCAAGAGACAAAGCCACAGAGACTATTGCTGGGTATTCATCATTAAGCATATTTGTCATCTGCATCTTGATCATTTTTTCATCATTCTCCTGAAATGATAATATGTTTCATTAAAAACTAACAATGTACACTATAAAAATAACCAAATGAAAAATACAAATATAAAATAGAACATTTCAGAGAAATAAGCTGCTGACATCCAATAACTTCTGAACTGTAAAGATTACAATCATAATGCCTTTCTTACCAAGCCCTTGTTGACTTTCTCAGCAAAATTCTCTGCAGCAGCCAGGCGGACCTTGTCATCAGGATGGACCAAGTGTGTGAAGCTGATACCACTACCTCCATCTTGGGTGTTCAGAATCTTCTTTAAAATCTACAGATACATATAAAATATATAAATAAAAGAAACATTATTTTGGTAAATTAATCATATGAAAATGATAGCTAGTACAAAACTAAAGGTAGAAGTAACAAACAGAAGGCTCACATGTGGGAAAATGTAAGGGTCAAAGAGCTTTTTCTGTTTCTGTGATGAACTGAACCACACTTAATCTAAAACAATATTTGGTGAGGCCTGGGTATGTTAGTGCCTGTCTACACTTGGGCTACTGCCCAATCAACAGTAAGGCACCTGAGGATTCATCTTGTTCACTAGGACTTGATTTCACTTTAACATGATAAGATGTCATCATGCATGACTGGGTTATGGACAACCATCATACAGTAAACTGTCAAAAAGGTCCTGGCAAAAATATGATAACTGCAATTTTGAATTGTGGAAAAGGAGAAGTTTATATATCAATATCAGGCTCCCAGAAAACTAAAGTAATATAACAGAGATACAACCCACTCACTGCCCACTTTACAAAATATAGGTATCAATTAGGTTACCTTAAATATGAAAATAGAGCATTACATTATTATATTAAGTCAAAAGATGTTAGATTCCACTTATTTATGTGTATTTATCTATAACAGTCATTAAGATATTGCAGATCAGTGAATATCTTAAGTAGAAAAAGAAAATAGTTTATAAAATACTGATCAGATGACCATTTACCCCATTCATCTAACTTACTGTCTGACTGACTGACTCACACACATTCACACCCTCACTCATTCATTCACTCACTCTCACTCACCCAAAATGGGACAAGTGACATTCTTTAAAGGATTGTTATACTGGATTCAAAATTGGCACAAAAGAATATCATAAAAATATTCAATTTTGGATAACATGCACTTATGTCTGGAGGACATAAGTGCACTCCTTCAGTTCTGCTCCAGAGTTGGTAAAATGGACATGGTGAGTGTAAAAGTGATGAACTGATTGCCCTGACTGAGATATTTTCTCCTTACTTTTGTAAAAAGGGCAATTATAGGATATTTCATGAATACAAATAACAAAAGAAAAAATATAATTTGAAGGCCATACCTTTGATTAAAAAAAAAAAAAAGTTAAATAAAATAAAATAGTCTATAAATGACATTTTCTCAAAACCTTAAACCCCTTTATTGGCGTCATTTTACTTAAAAATTGTTGACAACAAATATAATTTAAATCCCCTTAGAAAAAGGAAATTAAAATAAGGAATCATATATATATATAGAAAGCACACTTTTTTTTCTTCAAAACTTAAATATGAAAAGATGAAAAATCTTATGACAAATCAGCACATATGATTCCTAATTTATTCTTTTTCTAATACTTCAGCTGCCCTTAGAAAGCTTGCATAAACTTTTGAAAAACAATTATCAAGTCAATCTCTGATTCGTTTTCTCTTCCATACACACAAAATATATTCAACAACCACATACAAAATGGCCTCCACACAACAAAAATCACAATTACACATGGCTTGCCTGCAACCTGACCTCAAGTTCACTGATAGCTGAGCCTTTACGTATAAAAAAGTGTCTACATCAACAAAAGCACAGTTACACAACTCACCAACTTGTACTTCTTGCCAACATGCATATCATTCCAGCTGATCAACTTTGCCATGGCTTGACTGTAACCTTCTGTGTGATTGACCTCCAATTTGTTAATAGCTGAACCCAAATTCATGGTTGCCATTTCCTTAATATGATCATAATTGTCTTCAACTGCTTCAAACACACTCCTGTGGGGGAAAAAAAAACACAGTATGGACTGACTATCCATTTGTCAAGAAAACGCGTCTCTCTCACTACAGTGTTATTTGCATACCCTTAATGACTGCAAATGCTGCATAGAAAGACTTCTTTTTTTCAATCTCCTCAAATGTGGAGGTATGGGCTTGCCAAGAGCTTGATATAAAGCACTGATCATGTGATCTTCTTTCTTGTAATGACAAATGGAGACTCCAACCATTTTCATATTTAATTCATTATCACAGAGCACAAGCCACTTTACACAGTCTTCTATGTTTTGTATAGCCTGTCAACTAACATGGATAAGCCATCTTTTGCTTGGCAACCAGCCACCACAAACATTAACATCTTATGGAGACCATTCCTGAAGTAAAAGGTATAGAGAGGTCATTTGGAGTTAGCTTGCACTATGAATATAAAAATGAGAAAACTACCAAACAACTGTTATAGGACATCTTTGGTTATTTCTTGGTATAGCAAAAGCATAAGTGCTAAGGGGTAGTCTTGTCTCTTCAGGCTTCCCTTTACAGACAAAGATATTTCCCCAACTATGAGGGGCACTAAGATGGTAATCCCCGCACAACACAGCATTGAGTGAGAACTGCTGTGTTGGTTTTTCACCCCAGGTACAGAGGGTAAGATGTTGCCAAAACAAACACTGTAGTGTAATTACTAGGAGGCTTATTACTTGGTTGTCTAAACAACAATTATCATGTCATTTTAGGTATAACTGTAATGTAGAAATAAATAATATATATTACAAGTGACAATAGTGCCTCATAAAAATTTTGAAGATTATCCAGACAAACATTCACTAGACCAACAAATACAAATGCACACCAACACTGACACCCTGAAGATATGGAACTCACTTTGAAAATCATTTATGGTCTTATGGAAAAAGTGAGACCCAAAGGACAATTATGGAATACCAGCCACAAATATAGGCCATACATGACTAGTGTGACCATTGCTTAACATAATCAATTTGCACCATATACATCTACATGTACTTTTGCTTGCTGCAAACATACATACAGCATTTGATATTGACATCACACACAGATATGAGTTTGTGAATATTCAAAGGACATTTTTATGCCAATATAAAAAATCAAAAGTCACAATGATTTATAAAGAAATACTTTGGAGACTATTATTTCAAAATGTAAGTTTTTGAGTTCATTTATAAACAAAATACACTTTGCTTTGAGATTCCTAGGTAATATGCTGTAAGCTGGCCTATACAGAGGTCAGTATGTATACCAAGGACAAAGTACACATCAAAAAAATAAAATTGTAAATTATAATATTTCAGTTTGGCTTCATCCCAGTGTTTGGTACTATTGACTGCCTTCAAATATAATTTTATTTGAAAATTGTCATTTCCACTGAAAAGAGCCTATCAGCAGCAGATTTTTAAATAACCCTTCTAACTGGACTTTTACTGTGAACCTAAAATAACCTCAGGAACCTTGTGACACAACTATTAAATATTTGCATCTTACCATATTACTTCTGCAGCATCAGAACTTGAAAGAGGCATCTTTCCAATTAGTTGTAGGAGGTGAGCAAATTTCTTCTCTTTTACAGGTGTCTTCAATTCACATTCTTCACTGCACAGCCACCTAGGTAAACAAACAAAAAATATATACTATTCTTGGTTTGATCAAAAGGCCAGTAATCTCTTCATTTAATTTTTCCATACACTAGACTTGTACAGCTCCACAAATTTTAGGGGACTGTATACTATTTTCAGATAGAACATTGAAACCTACATCATTTTCTTTGCTTCTTTTATGGAGATCACAGAGATATATTTTGGAACTCGCATCCAATAGTTCTCAAGCTACAGTATATACAAGGAGATGAGCAAATTTCTTCTCTTTTACAGGTGTCTTCAATTCACATTCTTCACTGCACAGCCACCTAGGTAAACAAACAAAAAATATATACTATTCTTGGTTTGATCAAAAGGCCAGTAATCTCTTCACTTAATTCTTCCATACACTAGACTTGTACAGCTCCACAAATTTTAGGGGACTGTATACTATTTTCAGATAGAACATTGAAACCTACATCATTTTCTTTGCTTTTTTGATGGAGATCACAGAGATATATTTTGGAACTCGCATCCAATAGTTCTCAAGCTACAGTGTATATATATATATATATATATATATATATATATATATATATATATATATATATATATATATATTATATATATATATATATATATATGTATATATATATATATATATATATATATATATATATATATATATATATATATATAAAAAGAAATTCCTTAAACCAATGCCACCGGGGAAAATGAACAAAAAATGGTGAAAATGCTATGCTCATTTTCTATGTTTTTCGTGAAATGTCTGCCCATAGATGGCTCTGCTAGCGCCTGATTTGAAATGGCGGGAAATTAGTTGTAGGAGATGAGCAAATTTCTTCTCTTTTACAGGTGTCTTCAATTCACATTCTTCACTGCACAGCCACCTAGGTAAACAAACAAAAAATATATACTATTCTTGGTTTGATCAAAAGGCCAGTAATCTCTTCACTTAATTCTTCCATACACTAGACTTGTACAGCTCCACAAATTTTAGGGGACTGTATACTATTTTCAGATAGAACATTGAAACCTACATCATTTTCTTTGCTTTTTTGATGGAGATCACAGAGATATATTTTGGAACTCGCATCCAGTAGTTCTCAAGCTACAGTGTGTATATATATATATATATATATATATATATATATATATATATATATATATATATATATATATATATATATATATACATATATATAAAAAAAAAATCCTTAAACCAATGCCGCCGGGGAAAATGAACAAAAAATGGTGAAAATGCTATGCTTATTTTCTATGTTTTTTGTGAAATGTCTGCCGATAGATGGCTCTGCTAGTGCCTGATTTGAAATGGCGGGAAAAACGTATTTTTCAATAGTGCTATGAAAATCGATGGTGTTATTTTTATCATAAACATTATAATTTTTATAATGTTTTTTAACATTAGTAACAGCAAAATAAGATAACGTAAAATATTTCGTAAATCAAAGAAAAGGGTAAACGGGCGGGAAGGGCGGTACTCGTAACTGGCTCATTGGGGAGTTAGTACAAGTGTTGCCACCTATGTGTAAAAATAATCAAACAAGTACTCACGGTTGGCATAGCACATACATACGTCTTACCCGTCGGCATTGGGTTAAGAAATTGCAAGAAATTCAAATCTTCTAACATATATTTCTATAAACTTTACTAGAAGCCCAGACATAGATTTTAGAAAAAAATCATATAGCTGTGTGTTAACAGCTCACTGGGAACTAAGTTGGTGAAAATTTTTCTGAAAAACTATATGTTTCCCTAAAATGCCATTCTCATAGAACTCACTTGATATATGCTGCAACATAAGCAGACATGAATGGTGCAACACTCTTTATCTTGGCCTGCTCTTCCACCTGTTGAAGGAGCTCAGGCTTCTCATCTAACCTCTCCACCAGTGCAGGGCTCAGACGTGTCATTTCTTGGTGGTGAAATATTACTAGCAGTGTTAGCATACACTCACGCTTCAAAGCTGCAGGTGGATTATTCTCCTGTTTGGGTTAATTTGAATCTGTATTATTTTCTTACACAATTACTTTTCTGAGAGAAAAAGTCCTGTATAATGTTAGCTGAGCAACATTTTACAATACTTATAAACTTTCCTTACCAAACACATGAAAGGTTCAAATATGACAAAATAAGGGGAAATTTCTACACAGAGCAAATACTCACACTAATCATTAGTTCCATCACTCTATCGAGAAGATCCTGATTAAGCTTAACTTTGATGGACAACTGCACCAGGATGAAGTACATCCCTGCCACCAGCTCTGCATGAGGTGACTTTAGGCAGGTTGGCAGGGACTTTACAATGTATGAGATATGCCATTCTTGTACCTGTGATATAAGAAAAAGAAAGAAAGAAATGTAAAAAGGATAAACAGCAGGATGCAGATGTGAGCAGAGGGAGAGGAAGGAGAGAAGAGAAAAAGAGATAATTGGGGACATCCCAGTTGATGGGAGGTTCAGGCATATACATAAACCTGGTAGAAAAACCCATGAAGCACAAACTAGATTTATTAACCCCTTCCCGACAGGTCACGCCGTTAGGCATCAAAACAAGCCGCTCAAACTTCTGGCATGTGGCTGTACACCGTGATGGGGTGCCAAAGGGCCAGTGATTAGGCTCGATGTACCGAACTCCTGCGCTCAAAATCCGGCACGTTGCCAGTGATCTCGAGAGCGTAGATTTTTTTTTTTGCCCCCCTCCCCCCTCCCCAGCATCAAGGGGTTAAAAATGAGACAGCTTGGAAATCCTACTAGATTTCAACTCCAAGAGGATTTCAAGATTGTTTTCTAATTTTCAGTCTAGTTAGTGCAATGTGGGTTTTTCTACCATAGCATCAACATGCTAGTTTGTTGTACCATACATATATATATATATATATATATATATATATATATATATATATATATATGTACATATATATCTATATCTATGCATATGGAATTCAGACATTATATTTTAACCAAAAATAAGAGGAAAAGAAAAGAAAAGAAGAAGAAAAAAAGAACCAAGAAATTTTTGCAATTATCAGGTTTG